TCACCACCAAGTGATTACTAAATTTTCACGCAGATTTTGTATTCTCATCTTATAATTTTAAGGTAAGATTTCGAAAATAAAAATAAACCCTATTTCATTCATTAATCCAAAATAATACGTACTAATTTTCAAGTTAAAATAATCATTTAATAATTTTCCTCCATACAAAATTCAAATCGCCCCGTAAAAAAGTTTGTTAAAAACTGGAACAACACATTTCATCGTCTAATTGTGTTGTAGAGAAGACCAAAGAGTACAATCTGCCACTTTGCCTTGCATAAGTGAACTACGAGTATGAGAGAGCCTTTGATTCCGTCCAAATTTGTGCGATGCTACAGTCCCTTCAATGGTTTCAAGTTGACTGTCGGTGTATCGACGAGCTGAAGTGTTTGTACAGTAGGGTTACGGTGACTATCCGTGTACAGAACCAGAGTACGAAACTTATCTAACTGCAAAGGGGTGTAAGACAGGGTGACGTTATATCCTCAAAACTCTTTACCGCTGCATTGAAAAACGATTTCAAGCTACTGGACTGGAAAGCTCCATACGTCCATACTGGACTGGATAACATCAATGGTGAGTACATTAGATACTCACTTTCGATTTGCCGACGATATATTTCTTATGGCAGAATCGCTGGAGGGCCTTAGTACTATACACAATGACCTCAATAGTATCTCCCAACGGATAGTTCTTAAGATGGACATGGACAAAACAAAGATCATGTGTAATGTCTAAGTTTCACCTATGTCGGTAGTTGTTGCAAGCACGAAGCCGAAGTTGTTAACGAGTATGTTTACCTGGGACAAATGGTCCGACTAGGTAGGTTCCAACTTCGACCGAGAGGTCAATCGATCGACTGATTCAACTCGGCTGGGCTGCGTTCAGTAAATTACGACACATCTTGCCGTCAGGTATACCTCAAAACTTGAAAACGAGATTGTACAACCAGTGCGTGTTGCCAGTGATGACTTATGGATCTAAGACGTGGTCCTGTACCACTAACCATATGAGGACGCTCAAGGTCGCTCAGCGAGCTATGGAGAAAGCTTTGCTTGGGGTGTCTTCATAAACTTAGAAATGAAGGTATCCGCGATAGAACCAGAGTGATCAACATAGCCTAACAGATTAGTAAGCTGAAGTGGCAAAGGGCCAGCCATATAGCTGGAAGAACCGACGACCGATGGGGAAAGAAGGTTCTCGAGTGGCTGCCTCGTACAGGTAGTCGAAGTGTAGGGAGATCCTCCACTAGATGGAGTGACGACCTGGTAAGACATGCAGGAAGTCGATGGATGCAGGTGGCTCAGGACTGCGCTTTGTGTCATCCTTGGGGGAGGCCTAGTGAAAGGCTGTAATAATAAATGATGATGATGAAAAGCCCAAGGCAACGGAGACGGTCAGACGACCCAAATATGTAGTGTAAAGCCAATGTATATATATAGAGAAAGAGAGAGAGAGAACATAGTATATATAGTATATAAATAGTGGACTGTGACACCTGTCACTATATGGCAAAAATTAAATCTACGGCTTATTAAATTCTATTCGATTCGATTTAAGTATGTCCATTAAAACATTATTTTCATAAACGCTATTTGTGAACGAAATAAAAAGATTTCTGTTATAAAGTAAAGATTTTGACTAATTTTAAGAGTTTTGGGCAAATATAGATTAATATACACTTTATTACTATGTCCAAACATTCAAATTAAGTAAATAAAAAAAAATAAAAATAGAAAAGGGAACAAATGCGTCAGGAGAGCACGTCAAGGGCAGCGCAATGAACTCTTTTCTCTTTAATTGAACTCCGCATTTTTAACAGACGCTATCAAACAAACTCAATATCAGAACGCATTTAATGTATAAGAACTGTAGAGTAAATGTATCCTAAGAAAGTTAACATTGGTAAATAAGCTATTTTGCCTTGGGTATTGTAACACGCAGTTTTTATTTTTATCTAGCTGATATCAGGATGATACCGCTGCCCTCTTCTAAAGTGATGTTAATCTGTTCAATAGAGCGTTCTTACCTCTCTTGAAAACCAAGACCACTAGACTTTAAAAGTTGAAAACCATTTTATCTCACCCAGCTGAAAGCGAGGGGGATGTAGCGTTTACTTAATTATAAGTGACAACTTTACGTTACTGGTGACATCGGACCTCAGATAATCCTACATTATACCGAGCGCAACTTGTCTATATTTTCTTCTAGGTTCAGGATCTTCTGATCCATGTAGCCAGGTCTAATCATTACTCCCTGTCTACTTATTTCATTCCTTATGCTCTTACGACACCCACGGGATGATATGGAGTAGTGGATAATCTTATACCGCCACTTTACGGTAAAGGCTAGATAGATCATAACGGATATGAATAATATAAAACTACTCAAAATTAGATAATAAGTTGCAAATGTAAACAAATAGTTACAAAGTATTTATATACTAAAACATAAAACGACACAGAATGTTTATTGCAATATGGTAATTGATTGAACACACACAAACACACACACACACACACACACACACACACACACACACACACACACACACACACACACACACACACACACACACACACACACACGCACACACACACACACACACACACACACACAAACACACCCATGCGATCGCGCGCGGGCGCGCAAACACGCGCTCATGCTTTTCTCTTAAAATCACATTTAATCTATTTCAGGTAATATGTAAATTGAAAATTGATTGTTGTTTTGCCTTGTTTTTCACTCTAAACTAATGTTAACATTAATTATTTTTATAAGTGTTTTCCAAATTGTCTTTACAAACACATTTAAAGATATTTAGTAAAGTAAGGAAGAGCGGCGCCACCTGGCACAAGTATTATTATTACTTAATAGGATGGCCCCAACCTCTGTTTACAGTTACAAACCATTGTGTTGTAAAATAAAGATTTTTTGATTTTGATTTTTAAAGATTTTTTGATTTTGAAAAAAAAAGTTACAGCCTATATACGTCCCACCGCTGGGCACTGGCCTCCCCTTATTTCTGAGAGGGTTTTGGGGCAAGGAAGTGTCCGCCGCGCTGCCCCAGAGCGTGTTGGCGAACTTCACATGCCTTCGAAATATTTTGTTTTCCTTATTCCTCAGACATGCAGGTTTCCTCACGATGTTTTCCTCCACTGACGAGCACCTGGTAAATCAGTAGTTAAAATTGCAATTAACAATTTCATTGGTGCCGGCGGGGATCGCACTAAGGTTACTCGCGTTCTGTTATATTAACAGCGAGTGTTAACCATCTGAGCTACCACGGCTCAGGACAATGTAAATTTTTATACTTTTGTAGCTGCAGAAGGGATTATTATTCCTATTGCACGGCTTCTATGATAGATAGCGAGTTAAATTTCCATCCAAATCCACTCACAAATTTGTGTGTGATGCAGATAGATAGGCAGATAACGTTTCCGAAAAAAAAATGTTTCGCCATCTGTATTGATAACATAGTGTACCCCAATTACAATATCAAAAAATATTTAGTAATAATATAGTGCGAGTTTATACGATTCGAGTAAAGTATTAAAATAATGTATTTTATTTTATACTAGAATAAGAAAAATGAAAGTCATATTGCTAAATGACTTTTGCAACCTTGACTGGAAAATCTGGAGCTTAAATCGCGAAGAAAGTCTTGTTATTTTCTTTCATTATTTTGATTATGTTTATATGCTCAGAAGTTGTAAACTTTTACGAGACATACTTTGGCCCTTCAGTAAAATAATACTGTAACTAGGGAAAGTAAGCACTAAGCGACGGAACATTTTATTGTCTTTAATTTGCTTTTAAATTTTCCTAAATATACAACAATGTTGCGTTTTCTACAACTAGTGTCTTTATTTAATTGAAATAGTTTAATGACCCCCAGCTGCAAAACTTAGCTACAATTACTTGTGAATTTAATCTTGTTTATAATGAAATTATTAAATCATTTACAGTAGAAAAACAATAAACCACAGAGGCTTTTGTCTACTAGCGTAGACAATACTTTACTCACCTCCCATTTGATGGCCAAACATAAGTAAGTTTATATGGAGCTTTTGAGTTATCAGCCCGGAGTCAGGAAGTTGGCGATGTGAATTGAGGATTTCTTGACAGATAAACCTAATAATTAATTTTAGCCCAACCCGGGAAATGAACCCGGAACCTTATGATCGGCGCAATTACTTTTAAGACCGCTAGAACAACGATGTAGTTGTTTTTTATGGCATAATGGAAATGGAATATGGAATGGAATAATGGTAATATACTGATCCCGAGAGTGAGAGGGTTCTGTGGCCTATAGACATATATAATCAAAATGCAAAGTTTTGCCCCTTAACATTAAGATAGAACGCCTCGTTTCCAGCAAAAAGGGTCTCCGGTTCTCTAAACCCACCATATCAAACACGACAGCATTAAGCTGCTAATTACGCTGATATTCTGTGAGAGTCTGTGACTGATGTGTGTGTGTGTTTTTCAGGTAGCAGTTTCTGTTCGAGCTTTTATTTGCGGTATCGTGAGTATCGTGTGAGACAACACAGGCATTTCATATCCCTCTGTTTCCTCATACGATATATGATGAAATGGATAGCACCATATCCTAATTATACTTGAAAGTAATTAACTGCGGTTGCCAAAATGTCTGCCTAGCATGTAAACTATATGGTATTTATCTTCCATCAACAATGAAATAAAAGAACGGCTCCCTAGTTTGCGGCATCGCCGCTTTCCTAAAACAAAAATACAAAATACAAAAAATACAAAAATATTTATTCATAACATAAGTCACATTTACAGAGTTAGGTATGGATCTCACCCTTTTAAGTTTGAAAAACTTGTATTAAAATGAGTCTGAAACAGGGAGTGCTGATTCAATCTGGCAAGATTTTACGCACACAACCTAAAGATTGACAAGAAGATCCTGAAGCTAGGAGATATATAAGTTGCGCTGGGATATTATAGGATTATCTGAAGCCCAATGTTACTCATTATGTATTCAGGGCACCATTGACTTTGTTTCCGGCAGTGACACGCCTATCCACATCTAAATCACATCTTCCATCCCGGGTGAAAGCACTTCCCAAGTATACAATTTCATTTACCTGTTCTAGACATTCCTGATTTACCCATATTTCACATTTCTTTCTCTCTTCGTCCTTTTCAAATACCAGAACCTTAGTTTTATTAGCATTCAAACGGAGACCTTTAATTTCACATTCCTCTTTCATACACGTGACTAATGCCTGCAGTTCTGCTTCTGATGGTGCAATAAGCACTGCATCATCAGCATACAGCAGACAATTTACTTTAATGTCACCCAATTTCACACCCAAATAGCTATTTTTCAGCTTCTGTAAACAGCTGTCGAGATACAGTATGAACAGCCAGGAAGACATGACACAACCCTGTTTTACGCCCGCTTGGACGCTAAACATGGGTGACAGGTCATGCCCTACCCGCACACAGGCTTTACAGTCATAGTAAAGTGACTGCACAGCCCTTAACAATCGACCATCCACACCATATTCCGGCAACAGTTCCCACATTTTCTTCCTTATAACCTTATCAAATGCTTTCTCCAGATCCACAAAAGCACAGAAAATCCTCTGAAGCTTTTCCGTGATCATGCGGAGAGAAAATATTTGATCCGTGCATCCTCTTCCAGGTCTAAATCCGCATTGTGCCTCCCATAAGAATCTTTCCGATTTCTCTTGCATCCTACGTGTCAAAACCTTCGAGTAAACTTTACTTGCTAAACTGGTCAAGCTGATCGCCCGATAGCACCCGCAGTCAAAATGTGAACCTTTACCTTTATATAAAGGCACAATGACCGCAGATCGCCAGTCATCCGGGACATCTCCCGTCCGCCAGCACAAATTGCACAGCAGACGAAAGCTTTCCCAGACGCGAGGCCCACCGTACTTGACCATTTCAGCAGTAACTCTGTCTAGTCCCGCAGCCTTACCACATTTCAAACTTCGAATCGCACGTTCGATCTCTTTCATGCTGATGATCTCAGTGTTATCGAGGTCCGTGTCTGGCGTGCCAGTCATGGCGTCACCACCGGATCCTTCACTAAGATCATGACACGCATACATTTTTCTATAAAATTCACTCCATCGCTGCCTGACGTCCGATTTTTCTGAGAGGACATCATTGGTTCTCGAAAGCACTTTGTTCATTCTTAAGGCTGTCGCACCACTCCGGGACCTTCCAACCTCTTTCTAGAAGAGTTTGGAGTTTTCCTTAAAGTTATGCGACAACCTCTCGTCCGCTTCTATTCTACACTTTTCACGTACTTCCTCAATCAATGTTTTCGCATGAATTTTCTGCAGCTTATATCTTTCTTTCATCTTCTCTCTCATATGCTTATCGTTACTAGAGGCCAAGTAGTCTAACCATGCTTTTTTCTTCTTTTTTACAGCTTCTCTCACTTCACCATTCCACCATGCATCTCTTCTTTTACTACTACCTCTTCTTGTCGTTCCACATACTTCTTCCGCTGCACTTATCATTCCATCTCTAAGGTTCTGCCATGTTCTCTCCACACATTCTTTCCTGCCATCGATGGTATCAAGCTTTTCGGCTACCCTCGTGTGATATTTGTCCCTAGTATCCGCTTCCTGAAGCTTCCAGCTTCGGATGCAATGGAGATAGATGTCTCATGAGTGTCGAAAGATGGGCAGCAGCGTAGATATTTAAAGATGGGCAGTAGTGTAGATATTTATAGATGAGCAGCAGCGTAGATATTTAAAGATGGACAGCAGCGTAAATATTTAAAGATGGGCAGCAGCGTAGATATTTAAAGATGGGCAGCAGCGTAGATATTTAAAGATGGGCAGCAGCGTGGATATTTAAAGATGGGCAACAGCGTAGATATTTAAAGATGGGCAGCAGCGTAGATATTTAAAGATGGGCAGCAGCGTAGATATTTAAAGATGGGCAGCAGCGTAGATATTTAAAGATGGCCAGCAGCGTAGATATTTAAAGATGGGCAACAGCGTAGATATTTAAAGATGGGCAGCAGCGTAGATATTTAAAGATGGGCAGCAGCGTAGATATTTAAAGATGGGCAGCAGCGTAGATATTTAAAGATGGGCAGCAGCGTAGATATTTAAAGATGGCAGAAAGATGGCAACAGCGTAGATATTTAAAGATGGGCAGCAGCGTAGATATTTAAAGATGGGCAGCAGCGTAGATATTTAAAGATGGGCAGCAGCGTAGATATTTAAAGATGGGCAGCAGCGTAGATATTTAAAGATGGGCAGCAGCGTAGATATTTAAAGATGGGCAGCAGCGTAGATATTTAAAGATGGGTAGCAGCGGGATATTTAAAGATGGGCAGCAGCGTAGATATTTTAAAATATGGACAGCGAGATATTTAAAGACGAGCAGCATAGATATTTAAAGAATGGGCAGCAGCGTAGATATTTAAAGACGGCAAGCGCAGATATTAAAGAGAGCAACACAGGCAGACATTCACGTAAAGACGGGCAGTTAGATATTTAAAGATGGGCAGCAGCGTAGATATTTAAAGATGGGCAGCAGCGTAGATATTTAAAGATGGGCAGCAGCGTAGATATTTAAAGATGGGCAGCAGCGTAGATATTTAAAGATGGGCAGCAGCGTAGATATTTAAGAAAGAGCGCAGCCAGCGTAGATATTTAAAGATGCGGCAGATAGCGTAGATATTTAAAGATGGGCGTAGATATTTAGAGCAGCGTAGATATTTAAAGATGGGCAGCAGCGTAGATATTTAAAGATGGCGACAGCGTAGATATTTAAAGATGGCAGCAGCGTAGATATTTAAAGATGGCAGCAGCGTAGATATTTAAAGATGGGCAGCAGCGTAGATATTTAAAGATGGCCGTAGATATTAAAGATGGGCAGCAGCGTAGATATTTAAAGATGGGCAGCAGCGTAGATATTTAAAGATGGGCAGCAGCGTAGATATTTAAAGATGGGCAGCAGCGTAGATATTTAAAGATGGGCAGCAGCGTAGATATTTAAAGATGGGCAGCAGCGTAGATATTTAAAGATGGGCAGCAGCGTAGATATTTATAGATGAGCAGCAGCGTAGATATTTAAAGATGGGCAGCAGCGTAGATATTTAAAGATGGGCAGCAGCGTAGATATTTAAAGATGGGCAGCAGCGTAGATATTTAAAGATGGGCAGCAGCGTAGATATTTAAAGATGGGCAGCAGCGTAGATATTTAAAGATGGGCAGCAGCGTAGATATTTAAAGATGGGCAACAGCGTAGATATTTAAAGATGGGCAGCAGCGTAGATATTTAAAGATGGACAGCAGCGTAGATATTTAAAGATGGGCAGCAGCGTAGATATTTAAAGATGGGCAGCAGCGTAGATATTTAAAGATGGGCAGCAGCGTAGATATTTAAAGATGGGTAGCAGCGTAGATATTTAAAGATGGGCAGCAGCGTAGATATTTAAAGATGGGCAGCAGCGTAGATATTTAAAGATGGGCAACAGCGTAGATATTTTAAGATGGGCAGCAGCGTAGATATTTAAAGATGGGCAGCAGCGTAGATATTTAAAAATGGGCAGCAGCGTAGATATTTAAAGATGGGCAGCAGCGTAGATACTTAAAGATGGGCAGCAGCGTAGATATTTAAAGATGGGCAACAGCGTAGATATTTAAAGATGGGCAGCAGCGTAGATATTTAAAGATGGGCAGCAGTGTAGATATTTAAAGATGGGCAACAGCGTAGATATTTAAAGATGGGCAGCAGCGTAGATATTTAAAGATGGGCAACAGCGTAGATATTTAAAGATGGGCAATAGCGTAGATATTTAAAGGTGAGCAGCAGCGTAGATATTTTAAGATGGGCAGCAGCGTAGATATTTAAAGATGGGCAGCAGCGTAGATATTTAAAGATGGGCAGCAGCGTAGATATTCAAAGATGAGCAGCAGCGTAGATATTTAAAGATGGGCAACAGCGTAGATATTTAAAGATGGGCAACAGCGCAGATATTTTAAGATGGGCAGCAGCGTAGATATTTAAAGATGGGCAGCAGCGTAGATATTTAAAGATGGGCAACAGCGTAGATATTTAAAGATGGGCAACAGCGCAGATATTTTAAGATGGGCAGCAGCGTAGATATTTAAAGATGGGCAGCAGCGTAGATATTTAAAGATGGACAGCAGCCTAGATATTTAAAGATGGACAGCAGCGTAGATATTTAAAGATGGGCAGCAGCGTAGATATTTAAAGATGGGCAGCAGCGTAGATATTTAAAGATGGGCAGCAGCGTAGATATTTAAAGATGGGCAGCAGCGTAGATATTTAAAGATGAGCAGCAGCGTAGATATTTAAAGATGGGCAGCAGCGTAGATATTTAAAGATGGGCAGCAGCGTAGATATTTAAAGATGGGCAGCAGCGTAGATATTTAAAGATGGGCAACAGCGTAGATATTTAAAGGTGGGCAGCAGCGTAGATATTTAAAGATGGGCAGCAGCGTAGATATTTAAAGATGGGCAGCAGCGTAGATATTTAAAGATGGGCAGCAGCGTAGATATTTAAAGATGGGCAGCAGCGTAGATATTTAAAGATGGGCAGCAGCGTAGATATTTAAAGATGGGCAGCAGCGTAGATATTTAAAGATGGGCAGCAGCGTAGATATTTAAAGATGGGCAGCAGCGTAGATATTTAAAGATGGGCAGCAGCGTAGATATTTAAAGATGGGCAGCAGCGTAGATATTTAAAGATGGGCAGCAGCGTAGATATTTAAAGATGGGCAGCAGCGTAGATATTTAAAGATGGGCAGCAGCGTAGATATTTAAAGATGGGCAGCAGCGTAGATATTTAAAGATGGGCAGCAGCGTAGATATTTAAAGATGGGCAGCAGCGTAGATATTTAAAGATGGGCAGCAGCGTAGATATTTAAAGATGGGCAGCAGCGTAGATATTTAAAGATGGGCAGCAGCGTAGATATTTAAAGATGGGCAGCAGCGTAGATATTTAAAGATGGGCAGCAGCGTAGATATTTAAAGATGGGTAGCAGCGTAGATATTTAAAGATGGGCAGCAGTGTAGATATTTAAAGATGGACAGCAGCGTAGATATTTAAAGATGGGCAGCAGCGTAGATATTTAAAGATGGGCAGCAGCGTAGATAATGTTTTCTTTGGATACAATAAAATGCGGTAATAATTCAGTACATCAACGTTCATGGTTGGTGGCTACGCTGATGAGAGAGATGAAATCTGTAAGGATACCAAGTTTAATATCAGTTCCTTGAATAATCGTTCCTATCATTATTAATTATAACTTATTTGATACGCCTATGGTAAGAGTATATGACATAATTGACTTAGGCTTATTATTAGATGCAAAATTAAATTTTCACAATCATATGACATCCATTTGCTAGTGAGACTTTGGGTTTTGTGATGAGGACTGCTGCTGACTTTGATGATATACGGATGGCTAAAACTTTGTATAATGCGTGTGTTAGTGTCTAGGAGTAAACTGGAGTATGCAGCTGCGGCCTGGAATCCTTATGAGAATAAGTATACTATCATGTTAGAGAGAATATTAATAAATATATTATTAGTATTTTTGATCGTAGGCTTTATAAGAAGAGTCACGGTTACTACCCTTATTTG